GTCTTGTCCCACGATTACAATACTTTGAGGATGAACTTGAAGAGAAAATGCTCCCCGTGTGGTTACTGATGTGTTAAACTCGCTTAAATGCAGTTCTCTTTAGCCATTTACAGAATCGTTATCGGCGAAAGCAAATTTGGCTGGTACGAGTTGGCGCGTATAGGAATCTACGTATTGGAATTTACGCGAATTCCGAACGATAATTTGGACGGAACGATAATGCATGGCGGATAGATTACAGCCGATTACGAGCACTTGAAAATTAGCGCAAACGCGAGGCGATAAATCGGCCCTTCGATGCGCATCATTTCTTCATTAAACGCGCGCGTTAGGGACCTGTCGATAATCCTCCATGAACTACATCGACGCGAGGCGCGGTTGTCTTGGTGGAACGGCTTCGCCTTCGCCATTGACATCTGGTATCCGGAGCATCGTCATTATCGCTAAAAAGACGGGCATTCCTCACCGCGCGCAATACTCTACGGCGCGCTATGTAATAAAGGGATTCCTTCGGCTGACTGGAACGCAGTTGTGGATGTCATTTCTATTTTCAAATTAGTCCTGTTCGTCTCGGCGCGATAGGCGATATAGCGGAAGAATGTGACCCGTTCTAAGTCACGGCCGAGAAGGACCGAGACGGACTTCAATTTATTAGACCTTTGCACCAGGCGCCGCGGCCGCGCTGTTGGGCAAAAAGAAAGCGAGCCCTTCGCGGTAGAATCTATATTTCATGTAGAATTAATCGTCGCTCGTCCTACGTACAATAATTAATTATACAGGATGTATCTCTCGAATCGTGAGTAAAAAAAAACAAATATTCATTCCCTAAACTATTTTTTGGTAAATCTAGAACGCCCGGTGTAATTAATTGTTACACATGTGACAAACATCGATCACCCGTGCGTAAAATATAGATGCCGCGTGAAAAATAGCGGAGCTATTAGTTATTTGCAATTTTTGCCGGGGTATTAATCATTGAATTTTTTAGCGATAAAAGGATTTCTGTGCCGCGTGAGTTTGTATAAATTCAATTACCCGTTCGCTCTTCGGCGAAAACATTACGCGACGTAATGGTAGGTAAAATAGTAGATATTTTAATGCAGGCATCGATAATCGGCGATAAAACGTCGGTTATTATATCAAACATCCTTACAATCTGATTAATGAGAATTGTGTTTATACTATTCGCCAACTGTCGCATTGTAATTTCATTCCTGAGCAATTAATACAGCGATCATAACCGATGCGCGTAATGGTCCATCGTTCGTGCAGATTGACAAACGGAGAGCAAATAGGAATAGCGATGCCGATATTTGCGTACGGCCACGATGTAAATAACGCGTATCAAAGGACGCGCATATGAGCATATAACGCTATCGAGGCTCTGTTTGGCGTGCCAAATTTGACAGGACTCGTGACAAACAGGCCAACTGCTTAATTTCTCTAGATACACCAGTGCTCTCATTTATCAGTGCAATTTCTCAGGCAAATAGTCCAATCGCATTCCATCATTCACTAATTTTTATCACGTCAATTCATATTGTTGCAAGATGATACTGTAGGGACTGATCTTAGACTTCGCGCCTCATTTCGTGTGTAAAAGCCTGTGTCCACGATGCTAGAACTTGGTCCAAGTTCCAGTTCCGAGAAATGTGTAGCCAATCAACTTGCAGCTTTTATGGAATAGCTCCAAGTTATAATAGGACCAAGTTCGAGCATCGTGGACACGGGCCTTAACGCGCGAGCGCGGATAATCGGCTGGCGTGTAATTGTACGAGCGATCGGGCGAGTGTCACGAGTCTGCTGGGCTGGTTTCGATCCGATTTTCTACTCAAATAAATTAAGTGAATTGATGAAGTTAAACTGTCAACAATCCATCAATTAAAGACTACAGTATGGAAAAGATAAAAGTGATCATCGTGTACGTCAGCGCTGTAAATCACCAAGCACCGACCGTAGGACGAAATTCTCGAAATGTAACGGCGCGTATCAAACAGGAAGTAGGCGTAAAAACAGGAAGCAAATCGTAGATAGAGTCCGAGTGACGATGTGCCATAGAAGCGCGTCGAGCCGTACACGGTTTTTTTTTATGCATTCTAACGACGGCACGGGCATAGCAATCGGTGAATTACGCGAGCTGCAATACCGTCCCTCCCGCTCCCTCCCGCGGGCCTGTTCCACCAATCCCTCGATAATTTATCGATTAAGTCGTGCGTGGAATACGAATTCCCGGTGCCTCCGGGCCCGACTCGCGGATTAAAGCGCGCGGTGCATTTGTCAAATTGTCATTACTCATTGTCAAAATATCGCGAGCGACCCCCTCCCGCCGCCCAGATAGCAGGCTTTTTTTTTTATTTTCGGCGAGTGTTGCAGAAAATCGACTCGTTCCCAAAAGGATTCAACTCCCCGATATCCGACATGCCGTCGAAAAATATCATCCGTAAAAATTCCTCCTGCCGAAAAGATTTATACAGCATGTACCCATGTCGTTTGCCAATCATGTATTCGTCATAATTACTTGTTCGTCGAAGCGATCGAGTTGTTCAGTGTATTAGTGGGAAAAGAAAGGGCACAAATGTGTTATGCTGCACCCTCAGAAAGGATTTGTTACCAAGACCAAAAATATTCTTAACCTTTGGGGAAAGAACGCGCTTCGAGTCAAACAAACGGCATTTTTCTTAATTTACCTTATAATCTCTGCGACGATAGCTACGATAGAGATAAGTACACATCGCCGTAACACTGTGAGCACGTTCGATGCACACGTAAAATCTGACTTGATACCACGGCGTACTTGGCACACAAAATAGCCTACTAAGATTGCGTTAGCTCGCCTTAACGAGCAATATCCGATATAAAATATGAATATAATGAACGTTATTCCGTACTCGTGGCTCGCGAGATACAGTAATTTATTATATTGGAGAAACGGCGGAGAGCTGCGCGAAGCGAATGGAAAAAGTGAGGAAAATAATTGCGCGGCATTAAATGCTTAAAATGTAATAATAAACGGAGCGTTAAGAAATGTCGTCGGATTTTTTCACAAAATGCAAGGTGCGTATATCGCGAAGGACGAATTAAAGTTCATCAACCGAATTGTGTCAACGCGTTTATCAATAACAGAAACACGGGGTCGGGAACGCGAGAGCATTAATAATTCGAACGTACTTTAATTGCTAATTATCTGTTACGTAACAGCACGTTGGCTAACATTTTAATGTGTTAATTATGCAGCGCGTACCCCGAAAAGCTTTGTTGAAGACTGTCGTCGCACCGGCGGCGCGGCGGCTACCGATTCACGTAAATTACCGGCGCCGGATAACCGTCGGATTAAGATCGTAGGCACGGAACTTACCCCGACGTACATATTTTGACAAGGGCAGCAAGGGTTAAGACCAAGATTTAGCTCGTCTATGTAGACATAGTCCCGCGGTCGTCAACATAGTCGATATCAGACGGGGAGCCTTTCCCGGTCGGACTCGCCTGCTCTTTATTCCAAGTTAAACACGAAGAAAAATGAACGTTCCAACGAGATGGTATCGTAATGCTAATTTATTCAATACCTACGTTAGGTGTAACGCGAGAGATTACGAAACGCGGAAGAGGGGCGCGGTAAATTTGTATCTCTGTAAAATCTCGTGTAATATTCATTTTCAAAATAGAATCTTAAGCATTGTTCTTTTCTTTTATATATGAAAAAAAAACGAATAATTCGCAGTGACAATTTTCCCAAAGTTGCTGTAAAGTTAAAAAGGCCCCCCCCCCCCGACATAACAGGAATAAATTGCTCTGTTTATTTATCGTAAAATTGAATTACAGAAGTGCTAAATGTCAGTTTTACTCGGCGCTACGTAGAAATGATGCTGGGGATGTAGTAAAAACCATGTGCGCAGCGTACGACTGCATATTACGAGTGAGAGAAGTGCATTCTTAACTAAAACTACTGAGGAACGCTGGAGAGTGCGAATTTTATTCTCGCATCCTCGGGATGCGATGTCTCCTTTTCGAGCAACGGCATCGCAATGACTTCGGAGTCACGATAGTAATTGGAGAAGACTCCGGGATTATTGGATGCGAATCGCGTTTAATGAGCACGCTGACAAACAGCCGCGCCGTTGCGTCACGGGGAAAGAAGCAACGCAAAATGCGCGGGGATCCTTCAACGGGGCGGGAATGGAGAGCGCGGGTAAGAGACGGCTAAAGATAATGTACCCCTGCATACAGATGACGTTATTAAACGGAAATCTGCAGATGGAGCGAACGCATAAAGCACTGTCTACCGTCGTTGTCTGATTAGGCATGCAACGTTTCCCACCTCTGTTCCGCCCTCGCCTCCCCCTTTTCCTCCCTGCGAGATACCGAGGGCTCTCTCTCTCTCTCTCTCGTTACGGACGCGCGGCACGCCGCACCGCGCCGCCGCCGTAAATTCCGTAAAACGATAACGGCGATTTTAACACCGCGTACAATGCAGCAATGCGCGGCAATGCAGTTCGTTCGCGGTAACGAACCCGAGCGTGGAAGCGCTTTTCTCGAATTCCCCCGTCCCGGAAATCCAACCGCGAAATCTAACCCTTTAGCAGCTGCGACTCGCGTCACTTCCGTTCACGTGATCGATAGGTAAGACGGGATGCAAATTTTCATATTAATTGCACACGCATATGCAGCGTCCTTTTAGCGTTTCTGCCATTACGCCGCGAATTGGTCAGAAGCCATAAAAATATACAAGTTGCAGGACGCGACGTATGCGGCACGAAAAAAGCGGCGTTTCTCACGACACTGTCAATAGATTGGTACTTTTATTTTATCGCTAATATACCGGAACACATTTTTTTTTTAAGGGAGAGCGCGAGGGAGGCAAAATATCGCTCATTGTTGCACGTCAATTTCGTCGAGTCATATCAATCTCGACAGGTAAACTTGCATTATCCGTTGAAAAATTCTAATTTCGCGCGACGAAAATTTTAAACGGAAATTTATTTCATATCAGCAAATTTACTCACCGATTGATGTCTTCTTCCGCCAAAGCAATATCGTGGACGCCGTCTCCATATCGTCGAAATGCAGTCCGTCCTTCCGTCCGTCCTTCCTTCCTTCCTTCCTTCCTTCCTTCCTTCCCGTCGTCGCGCGGAGACGCGGACTCGCCGGAAATTCCAAGTTCGCCGCGAGCTTCGTCCGACACTTTCATCCGACACTTTCCGGAACGCGCGATTGGTTTTCAACGAACACTCGCGTTGTCGCGACGCGCTGTAGTTCCGAGTCTACCTTAGCGGATAGCACGATGAAGAACACTCGCGGCGACGAGCGGCCACCGGTGTTCGGACACGACCGCGAGAATCACCCATCAACGTCAATTGCACGCACTACTTGACGCCCGGCACTCGGTCCGACGATCCCGACGTTCGTTCGCGCACCAAACTCACCGAAACTGACCGTCGTCGAGTAAAGAAATTTAACCGGCACGGACCGCGGTGTCACTCCGCTCCAACCGAGCCAAGATGGCAGGAACGACGCGTCGCCCGAAGAGACGCGCAGCAACTTTCACACCGTACGTACTGCGGCGTAGTTCGCGCTGCACTTGTCGTCGCCCGGAATTAACTGGCCGAATTGACTTGATGCGTCGATGAATGATCGCTGTCGCGTCTTGACACTCCCGGCGTCTCTGATCTCGTCACAACTGTCCTTTTGTTGCGCTGCTCTCGATTCTGTAATCGTGAGAATATTGCGATCAGATTTCCATTGTCGTTGCCCCGTCGATTGCTTTTCCGAGGAGATTCAGCGATCACGCGATGGTATCGATCGCCGATTATTCGCAGACAGCGATCGCGGCTTCTTGCCGTACTCCGCCGCGGACGCGTATCGAAAATAAATAATACTATATGCGGAGCGGCACGGGCCGCTAACCGACTCGATCGACCGTCGCCGAGTAAATGACTTTGCGGCGCGATCTGTTTCTTCGCCGAGTGACGTAGACCGAGCACGGATTCCAGGAAATTAGTAGCGCTGGAATGCGTAAACAACTCGGTCGAAAGCCGAGCGTCGACAAAAAAAGCGTAACGCCGCGATTCGAAAAGTGTATAGCAACGAGTCAGTCGGCGCGTATCGGTCGTGCGAGGCGGACGTTCCCGCGCGTCTTCGCGCAGCTTGCCGTGTAACGCGATCATTTCGCGCCGATCCTCGTCCGAGTGAGAAAACGTAGCACTTCCGCCCGCGCTAGTCTGATAAATAGAACGGTCGACGGAGCGCACTTTGCTCCAGCGACACTCCCGATATTCATTTATCCGCACGATTTATTCCTGTCGCGCGAAAAGTAGAAATAACGCGCGGAGCGATATCGCTTCGCTCCGAACTGCCGCGATGGCGAAGCGAGACGCGTCAAGACGAGATGGCGGGACATTATTAAAAAAGAAGGAAGGGGGAAAAAATAACAATTTCGCGCGATCTAATCCTGGAATTGATAGCGGAATTAATAATCGCAACATTTTACGTTTTAATGCTTCAATTTAGTCGGAGCTCACGCGATTATTATCGCGTTTACTCATGAATTTATAAATTAGTTTAAAACCGATTTTAATGTATATTATATATCACATATATTATACAAATATACAACCACGATCGCTTTACGCACAGATAATTCCCCCATGTTTTTCGCGACTCCCAATTCTCTACTTCGCAGGGGAATTGATTGCGCGATTGATAAAATAGGAGCGATAAGCTCGACAGGCGACTTGTAAAGCCCGTATCGGGCCACGGATTGAGATTGAGATTAGATTGAAATTTGGCCAATCGGAGCAAAGTTTACTAATCCAAAGTTTAGCGACTTTTACTCTAATTGGTGAAATTTCCACCCGATCTCAATCTCAATCCGCGGCCCGACACGGGCTTGATACCGAATAAAAGAAATATTGTTTGTTATACGATTATTCCGCTGCAATGTCGTCGTAAAGCCTACGATCGTTCCTCACGGAAGCGCGAACGGGAGGGCGCATTCGACCGCGAAGAATGTCCGCCCCGGGCATAATGTTGGTATGCAAGCGTGAAAAATTTAGTGGGCCGAGGGTGAGAAACATGCGGGCGTTTGGAAAATTTTCGAGCGACATTCCTCGTCGGGATACGCCGGATAATAATTTCACCGGTCACGCGCGCATTCGCGTATACGTCATCGTGCATATATTCCGAGGGAGCGAGTGACGGGGGAAGAGTCTTCCAAGATTAACGATTGTCCGTAAAATTTTCAGGCGGATTCCGGGCCGAGAGGACGCGCTGCCGACCGCTCGAGACGGATATCGGAGCGCGGCCTGCTTTATTTTCGCGCATCTCCTTTCCTCCGCGTGGATTTTCGCTTAACGTCGCGCGTCAAACGAAATTTGGGTCGCGCCAAGCTTTCCGTTAAGTCCGTAGGTCGATAAAATTTTAATAAATGCTAATTCACGCCAGGCCCGACGTACGGCTGATGCCCACGAAATTAAATCGTCCGCCTCCCGCGGAGAGACCGCTTCATTATGAGGCGTTGCAGCCCTCTCGAAAAGGACGTTTGCCCTTTCGCTTGATATACGCGAAATTGAGAAAAGAGGAACCGAGAAGAATAGACGAGGGCAGTATCATCAACTTTGTCGGTGGTCCAATCCTGGACCAATCACCGTCGACCATTAAGCAAGTCTTTACTTAGACGAGCCGTTTTTACTGCTCTCTTAAATCGCTCGCGACTTCTCGAAATAACACACCGCGAATCTATTGTGTACGCCTGTTTAAATCCGTCAATTGTCACTTGAACTTTTGCACAAAATATCGAAATAAGAATACGCGACGTAACGTATAGCACGATAGCGCGATAATCGCTTTACGTGGCTGGTGTCATAATCGTAAAAATGTGGAATCCCGCGTAAAGATTTCGTTTAATATCAATTTGCTTTTTGTGCCTCGCGAATAAAATAATGTAAAATTACGAGGCGTCAGAAAATTTCGCGATGCGAATTTTATTTTGAAAGCAATATTAAATCCGTATTGTTATCGCGCGCAATTGTATCGATTTTGCAGAAAGGCCGCTACATCAATCGCGATACAACTCTACTGGAAACTAATTCGTGACGGCAATTGAAAAGCAAAAGTGACAAGGATAGATATATAGCGCGAATTGTTTGTTGGTACGCGCGACAGCGGTGGTGGCGAACAATCTAAACCCTACATTCGACAGTTGTGGAACTGAAACGCCGACATGCTCGGCAAATTGTTCGGGCGAAAACATAAACGCGGCCGAATGTATTATGCCTGCGTAAGAAACACGACGTTGTTGTATGCGGACCGCAGCACCGCGATCAACATGCCACAAACATCTGTACTGTAAGCGCAGAGATAGACGAACGCCAAAGCCGTAAGGGGGTCGTCAACTATGTACATAATTTCTAACTTCTGGACTCTATCCGCTTCTGCAGCGGACGATCCGGACCGTTGGCGTCCGGAAGCGCCAAATCTCTCCGCGCACGGCGCGCGGTCAACCCCAGACACACGCTCGCCTGACGCGCGAATAGCGTCGCGCATGGGAATAGTCTCATTTCTATTTGTCTGTATGCTGCCTCATTAATAAAACGGATTGCTCAAATCGCGACGCGTTGCCGTGAAATCAGGGACGCGTATTGTAGCTAGGACAAAATAGACCGCGACTGTTGTTCCTCGTTACGCGACGAATGCTTCTAAATCGTTTAAATATTAACCCAACATGTAGATACAATATCGGTGGGTCGTCCACTCGTATCAATCTCTAGTTCGTACTTTAAGCCTTGATATTATTACGCAGGAAAACGCGTATGAAATCTCAAACGTTAAGTCTTAACCTTTACCTTGTACTTGACACTGTCGCGCTCGCGAATTCAGCGAGTCTCGACGGCAAAACGCGGAACTGAAAAGAGTGGACGGGGTGCAGTGCATCGAAGCAGTGCTTTCAGACGAAAGCCACTGCATACACGATGGCCGGTGGTGGGGAAGTGGTAGGAGACGCTCAGCTAACCGGAGTGCGCCTCCTAGCACATCCTTTACCACCGGTCACGGTGGATCCAGCGGCTGCCGTCCAAAGCGCTGCCTGGTCGGTCCCGGCTGCTCCCTGCTGCTCCCGCTGCTCCCACTGCTCCCGGCTGCTCCCGCTGCTCGATCCGGCCGCGACGCGCTGCTCCTGCCGTCTGCGAAGCGCTCCCGTGCACCGCTCTTATAAGGCCCAGGGAGAAGCAAGCGCCGACCAATCAGCGGCGCGCGGCGTTGATTGGCTGACGCCCTGGCGGTGGGGAGCCGGGGTATATCAACGGCATGCAAGAGAGCCTCGCAGCGTTGATTGGCTGACGTCCTGGTGGTGGGGAGCCCAGGGTATATAAGCGGCATGCAAGGAGCCGTGGAGCGCTGTTGCTGAGCGGTCGCCGGTGGATGATTCTTCGCCACATCGGACGGGGGATGCAGCCGGAGCCCACTGGTGCCAGGCGAGGACCGTGCCTCGTCTCTACAGCGGCGTTGGGGTAGGAGTGGGGATGGCTCTTGTGCCGCATACGTGTACGGCACGAGAGCCATGCCCACTCCTGACCCCACCACCGCTGTCGCGATGTGGTAAATGTTCTCGTCTGGCGTCAGTACCGTAGCCTCTCGCCCGGGATTTTTTCCTCTAAGATCCAAGTCCCAATTCCAAGGCCTCGATGAAAATTCTTGACATGAAACTTGGCTAGGATCTCGGCTAAAAGCTGCTCCTTCCCGGCACATCTTTCTTCCTGTTTATTTCTTCAACATGCCTATCGTTGTAAGATTCTTTTGCAAGGTAGAGTATTGAGTTTATGACAGGCCAGAGGTTTTATAAAATTGAGCGTGGCGTCCGCGTCCAACATCGACCTCCACTCGAGTGGACAGTTTCTCACGTCCGACAGTTTGGATTTAATCTGTCCCCAGTAGCAGGGAATGTAGCCTTTTTTTGTAACGACGTGATGTAGAACAGGCCTTGTACAATTCGTCAGACTAATTAATGTCAGATAACGGATTGTGATTTGACCAATCGTAGTAAAGGTTACTAATCTCAAGTTTGGCGAATTTTACTCTGAATTTCCGTCTAATCTCAATCAAGTCTGACGGGCTTTGGGACGCGCGTCGCGTTTAATTTGAATTCAATTATCTACATCTACGGAGGTGTATCTCGAATTTTTCTGTCGACTACGGCTGCGTTCGGTTTGTGAGCGCCCAAACCGAACGCAGCCTAGGTGTAACATACAATCAATTGACGATCGAGAGACAAACCGATTTGGCTTAACCTGAATGTAACTTGTCATTTCTTTTCGGCAGAAAACCGTCTAAATTCCAAATGGGGTGGAGCTTGACAGGGACGCCTTGCCAGTGTAACGGCAGTCGTGGTGCATCGACGCAAGTGCAGGAATGCGCTCCATCAAAGCAAGTCCTGCCGGCATGCCTTCCCATCATAACGGCAGTGAGGTCCACTTGTGGAGCAAGACGGATGTTCGTTTCTGTCATCATCCTCGTCTTTTTGTTGGCCGCTATATATTGGGTATCGCTGCACCAGCAAGCGAACCCCGGCGCACGTCGACCAATGAGAATTCTGCCTCAAGCTTCGCGAAATACCGCGCCAGGGCAAACCGAGGCTGCGGAAACGGCTGAGGGATGAGGTAACATAACTAATAACTCTAATTCCTTCGAAAAGGACGTGCAGGATAATTCTGTAAATCCAAGATGGAAATTTGTAACAAGAGAGATGCTCGCTCTCGTCGCGATGCTTTTATTATAATAACGCAATTCTTTCAGCGGAATAATAATTCATTCAGCTTGGAATGTCTATGTATAGAGAAAAAGATAAAAATGAATGCTTTATAAGTTTAGTCGTCGTAATTATAACTTGAAGGATACTTTTCCAATAAGAGCAGGTCCCTTTATTACATAGTACCAGTTTTGGAATCTATAATCAGCCTGGAATTATCCTGGACAGAGTTTTCAAGGAATGCATAACGCGCAAATTAATAGAATTAAATTATTATCAGAAAGTCGGTGGTGAATAAATGAAAAACCTCCAACTAGGTAATCAGCATCGAGAGAGCAAAGAAAAAGTAATCCAAAGTAACAATATGGACTTGTATTTCCAAGCAGCATACTGCATCTCATCGCCAGGCTGATATTGTATATTGCAGTAGCAGCTGCGGTACAATGTGCATATGCCGCATAAAAACAACCAATCCTGCAAATCTAATAAGCTATCTGAAAAAAATGGTGAAACGAAGAAAAACGATAATAAAACTTTTATAATATTGTATACATGCGTCGCAACGTTAATTTATCTAATTATAACGTTACGAAGCGATTAGTCTGTTCTTTTTCGGAAATCGCGAGAGGCGTGTCGCACGCCGAGGTAAAAATGGTGAGAATTAAACGGAATTAATGATTCCGCAATTTTTAATTTATCTTTTCTATTGGTCTGATCTTACAATTAACTACGCACGGTACCGTGGTATATTCACTTTCTTACATTGGTTTACATTATCTGTTAAGTATTATATACAATACAAGTGCAACGATAAAGGTAGACCTTTGAACTTAAGCATTTACTATGTATGCTGATGTATTCTATGCTGCTATCACGAATATGCGCGATAAAGTCGTGATAAGATTTTATGTACGGAATAACGCGAGGACTGCGAAACGTCAAATATAAACTAACGATGAGCGTCGAAAACAGTTTTAACTGAAACTGCCTAAACGGTCGAGTGTACGCAACATCATCCCTGCTTCTTTAAGCATGCGATTTTCAATTATGCCGTACGCAAACGGCAATTTTGCGATAAAGTCTCGTTTCATGAGTTGACGGTCCACTTCCGGGTACTCGTCTTTCGCAGCGTCTAAATAAATTTGCAAAAGATTCCAGCAAGATGCCTCGTTCCCCGACAGATTATCGTCGTCGGGCAGATTTTGGAGGAGAATGTGACCGAATAACAGAGACAGCACAACTCTATTGCACTTCTTAGGAAACTACCGGCTCTGGAAAGTGTTAGAGATGAGTGCCTTAAGGTTCATCAACCCGTTATACTGGTCGGTCAGATAAATGAAGAATGCGTGGAGGGGAGATTGTTTGAAATGTGCGACCGAGCTCGTGAGCATTTAGTCGCGATGGAACGCGCCGGGAGATACTTCGTATGAGTTTCGAGTCCGCTGATTGTATTATTCTCGGACTGCAATCTTTGTGATTACGGTAGCTACGTATGCCACCTATTTAATTATTGGTAGAAACGCTCGTTTATGTATATGTTGCATTTTGACTCGCTCTCGAGATTAAAATGTTTTTTAATTATTCCGCCGCTCGCCGACTCGTTGCACTTGGTGACGATAAACATTATTAACGCGCGCGGCACTCGTCGCGACAACGTTATTAGAACGAGCGCGGGCTCGCGTAAAAAAAAAGAACCCTCATAATTCTCGACTTTCCGGGTTTAAGCGCGCGCGCTCTCGCAGTGCCGGTGTCCTTAATTGCCGCCGTGTTTTATTACAGCGATATTATTTTCCCTTTCGCTATGGCCGACCCGGATCCTCACGCCAAGTCGGTGCAGCCGGCGGGAGAGTGCATATGCGAGGACTGCGGCTTCATAAGGCGAGTATTGATACCGGAGATGGTCCACGATCGTTATTTCTGCGAGCCCGGATCCAGGGAGTTCGTCGAGCTCGATTCCGTCGACGTGGAGCACCTCGACCGCACGAGCAGTCGCGAGAACACGTTACATCGGGCGACGGCGCGCGTAAAATTTTCAGGCGTGACACACAGCTTTCCCCTCGTTATCAAGCTGCCTAAGCCACGCGCGGATCTTCTGTCGTCCAGCCCGTTCCTCAACGAGGAGATGTTCTACAGCAAGATGACGCTCGATTACGGAACGCACGGCATCCCGAGGTGTTACCTGTCCGACCTGGGTCGATACGATCGGCCCGTTATCGCCTTGGAGGATCTGGCCGCGCGTGGTTACACGCAAGTAGATGATAAATTGAACGAGGATCATCTGAAATTGTGTGTGAAAGCTTTGGCGGCGTTTCACGGCAAGGGACTCAAGCTGAGGGCGTGTAGGTTTCCCGTTTTCAGGGAGTTCTATGCGAAACTGTCTGTACCGGCGGACTGGCTGCACTCTCGTACGAGCAATGTTAGGTGAAATTTACGTCTTGTTACGCACGGTCCATGCTATCAAACAATTGTCCTTATTTCAAATAATATAATTGTACAAAGCGAAAACGTATTTACGTCGATATACTGGTTTCTTTTTAGTAATAACGTATTGATATTATTAACGTTAATTAAAAAGATAATGTAGTTAGGAAAATATGTATCTTACGCTTGTAGAACGTTGGAAGCGCAGTTGGATAATCCTGGAGGTTCGAGTTCCTCATCGTTTTTCGCATTGGCAGCCGAGGCGGATCTCTATGAAAAAATAAAAAAAAAGCGAGACGTAACGGCCAAACTGGAGCTCAACGATTTTTGGACCATCTGCCACGGTAATTTCACGCGGAATAACTTGTTGTTCAGGTACGAGAATGGAAGGCCCAGTGACGTAAAAGTGATCGATTGGAGCACGATGAGGTACTGCTCGCCATCGATCGATTTCGGTCACATTCTCCTCCAAAATCTGCCCGACGACAATAATCTGTCGGGGAACGAGGCATCTTGTTGGAATCTTTTGCAAATTTATTTAGACGCTGTGAAAGACGAGTACCCGGAAGTGGACCGTCAACTCATGAAACGAGACATTATCGCGAAATTGCCGTTTGCGTACGGCATAATTGAAAATCGCATGCTTAAAGAAGCAGGGATGATGTTGCGTACACTCGACCGTTTAGGCAGTTTCAGTTAAAACTGCTTTCGACATTCATCGTTAGTTTATATTTGACGTTTCGCAGTCCTCGCGTTATTCCGTACATTAAATCTTATCACGACTTTATCGCGCATATTCGTGATAGCAACATAGAATACATCAGCATACATAGTAAATGTTTAAGTTGAAAGGTCTACCTTTATCGTTGCACTTGTATTGTATATAATACTTAACAGATAATGTAAACCAGTGTAAGAAAGTGGATATACCACGGTACCGTGCGGAGTTAATTGTAAGATTAGACTAATAGAAAAGATTAATTAAAAATTGCGGAATCATTAATTCCGTTTAATTCTCACCTTTTTACCTCGGCGTGCGACACGCCTCTCACGATTTCCGAAAAAGAACAGATTAATCGATCCGTAATGTTATAATTAGATAAATTAACGTTGCGACGCGCGTCACGTCACGTCAACGTAAATGTAATGCTAAATGATGGTGAAATATTCAGTTACGTTTCCTCTTGTCGATTTGCTCAAACTCGAACTGGTTTTCATTGATTTTTGATAACGTCGCAAATAAGTTTACGCCGCAGCGAGACGTGACGAACCGTTTAGGAAACGTCGTCTCCTTAAGTACATTTTCATCGGTATTTAATCAGAGAAAAGGTATCGATCTGGAAAAAAGTGGAAGTAACTTTAAATTGCGTTATATAGAGATTATCGTCGTTAAAGAAATTACTCGCTCTAATCGAATCTATATAATTAATTGGATTTATTTTAATCGGATGACGCGTGAGTCTTGGACTTTAAATGTTGAGAGAGAGAGAGAGAGAGAAATTTTCTCGCGCGCCATGTCATAACGAATTTGAAACTTTCAAGACAAAGCACAAATTGCCAAGTTTTCGCAGCAAGCGTATACGTTAGAAACGTATAGAGTTTTAAAGATGTTTGCAAAGCCGATAAAACTATCCCCCTTCGGTTTAAGACGAAATATCCATTTACGCCAACGAGTTCGGTTAAGTAACGATATAAACTATCGATAGCGCAAACTTTATTTTAACGGGGATCGCTACAACTTCAAATCTTAACGCGAGCAACGACAAGCACCGAACATCTCGTGCTTGACGCGTTTCCATCATTTACAACACAAAATCTAAATTTTCAAGTGTAATTTCCCTACATTGTGGATGAGCTCGCGCTGCGAATAGAATAATGCATTATTGATCGCGAAGGAGGACAAACGGGCACGACAGCTGCAGCCGGGATCTAAATTCGTTAAAGCAAATCAATGATCTAGCCTCTGGTACCGATGATTAATTTGCCCTGTAACGCGGCCTCGATGTCACAGGTCACGCCCTGTCAGAACGTACCCGTGCAGACGAGTCAGTATAATTTTCCAACATGTCAACAACGGCAAACCAGCACTCAGCAGATGCAAACTGCAGCATGCGGTCCGTGCTCTGGAACTTCTCAAGGTACAAAGCCGATCGTGCCAATCAAACGCTAAATTACGTGATAATTTCGTGTCTGCCGAATTACGTTAAGTGCCTTCTTAAAAATATCATTTGCATAAAGCGACGAGATCGCGGGAAGAGTAGGATTTTATTCGATAAAAAGAAGTACTTCTCTTTTTTTTTTTAATTAATTTAATTCTGTTAAATAAAGTACGCTCGCCCTGAGTTTCTCCTCACTTTTTATCCATTATTCACGTATGTCTAAAGCTACAGAGACGTCTATATATTTAGTTGTTTACTCGAAGTGGCATCAATTGGAAACTAAATAATCCTGTTTTAAATTTTAACAGTATGACGAACCAAATTCCCTTTCGCAGCTACATTAATAATATTTTTTAATAATAATAAATTACCATTAATGTTATCTGTTGTTATGGAATTTATCAATTAAAAACAATCAAACAACTCTGTCGGAAGTTCACACGGTAGATATTCCCCTGTAATTGCGTCAGTAATATTTTTGAAATGATAATTAAATGAGTAATTATTGATTTTCTTTGTTTGTTGAAAGTGGCATCAATTAAAAACCGATACGTGGAATATTGAGCTGACTTTTGATAAGGCACTTAACAACGATGTCACGACAAGAAACGCGCGCGAATGGCTGATACGAGGCTCGTTTCTCACTCTATTCCGATTGTCTATCCAGGAGGAGTCTTCACTCACGTGTGCCAGCCGGACACTTGCATAGTGACGCACCAATGTACGCCGCAGCCAGTTACGAATCTGTGTCATCCCGTATTTCAGAACCTACCGCCGGCTCATCCCGGCTGCGGCCAGCTGCCGTACAATATTTTGGAGCAGATTCGTGCGTGCGTTAGCAACGCCGCGCCCATCTTCATCCTACCCGGCCAACCATCGCCGACGATCCAGCAACAACAGCAGCAGCAGTCCGTGCCTCCTTTAGTACCTCAAACAGCGTCCTCGCCCCCAGCGGTGTATCCATCGGGCGGATTAACTTACCCCGCCGCCTGTTATCCGCCACCGCCGCCGTTCTACCCCTATCCCATGCCTCTGCCGTTCTGCGATCCGTTGATTCGCGGCCGCGAGACAGCGCCGAGTTGCGGATGCTGTCGGAGAGGCGACGTCGACGCGACGGAGATCAGAAACGTCCTACGCGCCGGCTGTCGCTTTGACGCCGCCGATCCGGACGAGCACCGTTGCACGCCCACCCTCGACGATACCATTTGCTCCAAGAGGAACTGCCCGTCCTCGATGCATCTGCAAGCTCTGGCGTCGCAGTTTCTGTCGATGCAGGGCGTTATACCGTGCGCTGCCACGCGGCTGGTGTTACGCAAAGTGCCGGGCTCAAATGTGACCACCACCATGGAGGACACAATGGCGAGGGCACAGAGGGCGATAAGCACCCTGACGAAAGATCAGTTGCTATCGGAATCGAGGCACGCGCAGCAAGTGAACGCGCTCATCAACCTGCACATGACGGCTAATCCGCCACCTAACGTCATCCCGATTCTCACGCTGGTGCAGCTCAAGATGAATCTGCTAAAGACGCAGGTCGAGGGACTTGTCAATCAGAAGCTAATGGAGATTCAGGGAGTTGGTGTGGAGGTAATAACGTAGCCTCGTTGCACAAATTTCTCTATATTTACAATACATTGAGCTCGCGTGATGTATATTTCATTTCTATCAGAGAGTAAGGAAATTATTAGACGACTCAAAGAAACTTATTGCGAAAAGTATTACCTCAGTCAGGATAATAAGTTTCTTTGATTAGAATTTGCCAGTTGGATTGTCCAATAATGTCCTCGCTTTGTTAATTATTCACCGGCGACGATAAGTCTTTATTCTTGTCATTAATTTCCCCTTTTCCCCCCATATCAAGGTAGACACCGATCTGATAGATCCCACGGTTCTCGCCCTCAAGTCCGACGCCGAGCTACGGGACCTGCTGTCGGCGCTACGGCAGAAGGAGTGCGACGAACGTGTGAACGTGAACTTTGCCCCGTACCGGTCGCAGCGGGCGATCGCGGAGACCCGGCTGAGCAACGTCCAGAATAAGATCCGTCAGGTGGAGGCGGAGTTCGATCGCAGGCGGTGCGCGATGCTGCCGGCGCCGACGTTGTCGTCGCGCGTCGTGCAACAATTCTCCAGGCCGTGTTACTCGGCGAAATTGGAGGATCCCAGGAGGCTGTACAGCATGCTGCCACATGACACCCCTTGTTCGCCAGATCCGTTCACCTACGTAAAACCTCGAAGTCCCAAGAGGCTGCTGCTGAAGCCGTGCACGGATAAACCGGAGACCGCTGCGCGACCCGTTGCCAATCCGGCAGCCGGTCAGCGCGCCGATCCTCCCAAAAATCCGGACGACGGTGGCGGTGCTGATCGCGCGAAGGAACCTCCCGCGACTCTCGTACGGCAGCGTTCCAGCACGGAGAATTGCACGTATTGCGACAGGACCACGTCGGAGGAGAGCGTCGGCGAGGCTAAAAAAAAACTTCGACCGAGGATCATCGAGATAGACGACGCGACGACGGCCAGTAACGTCGACGGAGCGGAACGCGGGGCATTGCCCTTAGTGAGGCTGCCATCGACCGTCTGCGTGAGAGTGATCGACGCGGAGAGATACGGGCAAAGCAGCGAGATCAACGGAATTCTATGCGGCGCGAAATGTTGGACGGCCGAGACGTACGTCAACGTCGCCGACTACGACGAGTCGGTGAAGACTTTAACGGAATCTGAGAGCGACGTAGTTACGCTCAGCGAGAAGATCGATGAGAGGGAGTACATTCGCGAGGCGCGAGATGCGCTCGAGATTCGAAGCCGCGACCAGACAATGGATCAGCAGAAATGTGGCAGTACGCCGAACTTGCGAGCGTTTAATAAACGAGCGGAAGACGAAATTGCAATTTTACAAAGAGATGAAACGACCAAGGAACGCAACGTTGAGATTAAAAGAGACGTCTCGTCGTCGGAAGCTGAACGAGAAGAGGTGACAGCCACGACTGCCGCGGAAGTTGCAAATGAAGATCCGATATCGAACACACGGGAACCGGAAGAAGACGGCATATGTACCTCGTCACTAAAGATTACGTTAAAACCAGAAAAAGAAAAATGCGAGAATGGACAGGAAGATAAAAACGGTGAAATCTTGCAGTCGTCCGCGTCAGTGAAAGAAAACAAGAGTCAAGTAGCAATGAGCGGAAGCGGGAAGAAAATAAGATTTCGCGTTGTCTCATTGATGACGAATATTGTGTACGACGAAAGTCATAAATGTGGAAGAAAACAAGAGATCGCAAAGGAAGTAGCAACAAGTGAAAGAGAGACGAGCGTAACCACTGATCCGGATATTGAAAAATTAAATAATCGCAATTCGATAGAAACTCTTGTAAGAACTGCCGTCGCGCACAATATTACCGGAAAAGATCACTCGGAGAATATGTTTCCAAAGGGATTGGATCTTCCAAAGCTCTGCCTCGATCATCAATGCCAAACCGCATTTAAGGAAGATAAATATGCAACCGCCGCATTGTTAAGAGCAACTGTATTTCCTCCGTTCAAAAATCTGCATAAATGTATAACAGGTATGTCGTCGGTTTCTTCAGTGCCAATATCACTGGCACATCCCTCTATATTTAGAAAGAGAAAAAGTAATTTTCCACGTTTTATAATTTGCAATGCCTTTTCATTAGTCTGCGTCAGAATATATCTTTAGAAATCGCATGGTTCTGCGCAGAATATCAAGTATAAAATAGAATTTAAATTAAAATTTTTTATTCAGATAATGAGAAAAACGGAGACGACGTAGGAACTTACCCAAGTCCGATAACGAAAGCAGAAATTACGACTACAAAACGTTTATCCCGTTGCAACGATGTCACGGAAAGTACCTTAGAAACTCGTTGCAAGAATAACGTGCCTTATCATCGCGACGTGGAATGCGAGGGAAGCTTCATTTCGAAATTCTTTTTTATCATTGGCAACCGCGTGATCGCCTTCGTCAATAAAATAATTGCAATGAACGGAAGATTGTTATACTCGATTCGTGACGCGATACTCGGTAAAAATGCGAACATTAACGTCCTCGGAAAAGACGTCCCGATATCCAATCATTCCGAATTGATTTCGAAAAACACCTCGCATTCTTCCTCTGGTGTGAATTTTAAATCTGCCAGAATTGGCAAACGTAATTTTCACGATATAAATTTCTTACGAGTTTCAACGAAAAAAGAATATAATAGAATACGTAAAATAAAACATTCAATAATTGAAGACCGGGAAAACGACACGAGATATTTATTGATCGGTACATCACGTCACAATCGCGACTCGATACTGACGCGTGATTTGGGTCAACCTTACAAAGTGCAAAAGAGTCTCTTGATACGTAGTCGATTGAAAAATTCTCTAAATTCGCAGGATTATCCGCATCCTTTTTCTCTTTTGAAACGTACTGGGGAAAATGTACTCGAATCTCGTCAAGCGAAACGTAACGTAAACGTAGGAACGATCAAAGAAAACGAAATACGCGAGCTGAAGAGTAGCGAAAAATTCTGGACATTATCGGAAATTGTAGAAACAAACGGAATTAATGGTAAAATATCAGAAATAAGGGAATATGATAACGAGTCCGAAGAACAAATTTTAAACGAATATTCGCACGACGATATTAAAAATAATAGCGTGTCTACCGTGCAAGAACGTACAGTCGTCGATAATACCGCGGCCGACAATGAATTCGTGACAAACGTTCACGATTATCTCGGATTGCAAACAGAAATAAATACGAGTATTTACGAAAATCATAGCGCATATGTTTATTGATATCTAGCAATTGATAAAGATTTAGGACAGAATATTAACGCGGTACTGACAAGTAATTAGGAATGATAAAGGTACGTGATAATTGTACATCTCGCCGAAGGTTAATTAAAGTACACAATTATAGCGTAACTTCTCTCCTTTATTAATAACTTTTATTCTTTCATCAGTGATCTATTCTCTCATCGCTATAGCTGTCTAATGAGAATCTTTAGAATTGTGACGTAACAACAGTACGACGACAAAGGTATCTCTTTTCCTGAATTATTCGTTCCAGACTCTATAAAAGAGTTGCAAGAATGGAAAACGTATTTGTCACAAATCCCACATACACTCGCATCGAATCGGCACACCATACCGTTTCAATGTGAACACATGCGTCCCAAGTACAATTTAATTCCCTTGCGTGATTTTGCGATGTTTCTAATTTATTAATTAATATATATTATAGATTTCTTACACTCTAATCGATCGATTATCAGTAGAAAATAAACGGACACATTGGTTGTCATAAGAAAACTAATATCGCAACAACGAAATCCCGTGTACATATCAAAATACACAAGTAACAATGTCACACGCGGTCATTGTTTCATATATATTTATATATAAATATAATGCTCTTCAACGAATAACAAGATGTTTCATCTTGGATTTGAAACGTCAGAGACAAAATGGAGATGAAATTGGCATTTTCGATGAGTAATATGAAATTTATAATTGGAAGAACTCATGTGTATTCGCAGATTGTAAATACATACAAATATTAAACCTCCTTAAATGAAAGAGCAATTCAAGGTATCAGTTAGAGCCATATTAATACACATTATTAATACGTGTACCTCTCAAGTACATATTGTAATATCAAAGTTATAAACGGACCATGCTTAAGATAAATACGTTCTAAATTTTCTTATAGAACTACCCGCAGACTGAAGAGACACTTGTGGAAGAGAAAGATCGAACCTATTGTTGTGAAATATTTCATCAGTCAAGACAATCTCTGCTTCTATCGTGAAAGATTTCGTTTCAAGGAACTGTGTGACCACGTCACTTTTCAAAATTTACTAAATTATCGCATAATACAGTGTCGATTTAATACACGGTACTTGACGACTCTGCGTTACATAGATATCTTGATATTTAATTAATGAAAAAAAATTAATTTTTTTTTAAATTACGTTGCATACATAAGAATTCAATATCTACAACTTTACACAGACCTTGTCACTCACCTGATATCTTAAAGAATAAATATTTGATCTTCCCCGTAGCTCGTGGCTACTGTTCAGCGAAATACGGCCGTCAAATAGTCACAATTAGTCCGTTATTATTGTTGGCAGAACACTTCATGAAAAATGAACGATTACAAAGTAGTAGTAAAACGATATAATTACTTTTTAGCGTGGTGCAATTGTGTATAGACATTCGTTCATATCATACGTGTTAGTTTGAACTAAAAGAAATTGTCATTGATCAATATCAATCTTCTCTTAACCAATATCAATTGTTTCTTAAAACATTATCCTTTTTCGATGGATAAATTATATACAAAAATATTTACAAAGAGATACATTTACACCACTAATGCAGTCAAATGTTTAATGAAAAGAACTTAAATAATGGTGTATATTGTAATATAATTTAGTTAAAAAATTAATACTTCTTACGACAAATCTTTGATCAAAGAAACTTAAGCAACTAAACATTAGAGTTTAATTACTTGCAATATATAACTAGAATTGCTTAGACAATCTTTTAAATTCATAACAATATAAATTGCAAATGAATTTTTTTACACAACTTCAACAAAAACGAAATGCTAACCGATTAAAAACTAATTGTAAGTGGACGAGATTGTGAATATCATATAACGTAGCATGTGTTATAATTCATCTAAATTTAATCTAATGTATAATACGTCATTTTTGTGCTGCAATATAAAACAGACTTGAATCACTTGAAAAAAATGGTGTAGTGGAATACGAAGCCATTTTTATCATCACCGTAATAGACTTCATATGCGACTATCGAAAATTAAGTAATAGGCAAATTACGCATATTTTAACTCTGTTGATTTTATCCCGAATATATTCGGATTTTATTATGTACAAGTTGAATTTCCTGCTCGAGAACGTCAACTTGGACAAAGGCACGATTGACCATAGGTAATGCTTGTGTGTGCAAAATATTACTATATAAAAATTAAAGTTCTTCCCACACATTTCAAGAACTAAAATAACAATAAATATAAGCAAAGCAAATACTATTTTTTTGTATACAATGTACAATCGCAGTCCTGTCACTGTCTTTCCCTTTTAACAGAAACATTCAAAATCACTATTTTCGTCCTGAAAACGAGAAATTATTCGGGCATCCCAGTCCCCGCTTTTTCAGTTCTCGCTAAGTTTATTTAAGTTTTATTAAATTCTTTCTTAATTCACGCCTTTGGTGTACTCCGCTCTCAATTGGCCGAGTGTCACTTTTATATCGTGAAAACTCGGTCTCTTTTCTGGCTGTAAATCCCATGCCTGTTAAAGAATAACATATCTGAATAGGATACAATGCAACGCATATAACACAACAAACAAGACTTTAATATACCTGTCTCATAATGTCGTAAACTTCCGCAGGACATCCATCTGGCGGTTCCATCTTGTATCCCTTTTCTACGCACTTTACAACATCGGCTAAAGGCTGCAATTAGTAATAACGTGAAGAAAACACATGGTGCGTCTCGTATGAAAGTTTAATGTAACAATGTCGCTTACAATTCGCGGATACGGCACACGACCGAAGGAATAGATTTCCCAGAGAAGAATTCCGAAACTCCACATATCAGACTTGTTTGAAAACTTCTGGAAACAGTAATATGATACATAAGTATATCGAGTATATATATTTTTATTCATCCTCACCTACAAGTTACTTACGTTTTGTTTTAGAGCCTCTGGTGCAGTCCACTTGATCGGCAGCTTTCCACCGTCGAGAGAAAAATTTTCGTCCCGCGCCAGGCCGAAATCGGATACTTTGGCGGAATTATCCTCCGCTACGAGAACATTTCTCGCCGCTAAGTCTCGATGCACAACATGTCTGGATTCCAGATACGCCATACCGGCACACGTATCGCTACGGTACGCCAAACAATGCGATTAATATTATACACCTGTTTTATAATCGACAGACGGATTTTGTATTCGCTTACGTACTATGCAAAATTAATCTGATCCTTTTTCGAAACGTGCAATCTTCCTCTCGACCGTAAATAATCCACCAGGGATCCCTTACTCATATACTCCGTAACCAGGTACATGTGTTGATTATTAAAAACGAGACCGAGTAATTTAACCAGATTGTCATGAATCAACGAGGTCATTAAGCTCGCCTCGGCGAGAAACCTCTGTGCCGCTTCGCTGTTATCCTTCAGCATTTTCACCGCGACTCTTTCCCCTCGGTAGACACCTAGCAGCACGTCCCCAAATTCTCCCTTTCCGATGCATTCCCTTAACTCTAACTCGTGAGTCTGAATCACCCAACCGGCCTCCACGAATGCCTTTGGGTCCACACAAAAGTCTTGCTTGCCCTGTTTCGGCAAAGATTTCGTTAGCTGCGTGCACAGACCGTCCGCGTCCTGCTCGTAATGCTCGACCAAGAGCGCCAGATTCTCAAAGAACTCCTCGTCATCGATCGTTAACTGGTTGTTTTTATATTTCACCCTGTAATGCTGCACGCGCCCTTGGTAGCATACGCAGAGCGTGTAATCCCCAGGGAAATTGGTTGACTCTCGAACTAGAAACAAACCGTCCTCTCGTGGTCGCAACAATCTTTCCGCAGTTTCCCTCGATATCTTTCCGTGAAACCATCTGCATAGGAAAAACATATAATAGTTTTTTTAACTTATACTTTCGCAATATTGAATATTATACGCGATTTATCCGCCTTATCTGGCGTATCTCAACATCGTCCTTCTCACAAATCGTTACATTTTCAGGTATGAAGCCAAGTCAATGATACATACGGCATCGCGTTTAGTTTCACTTCGTGTCGTGGATTCGCCGGCAACGCGGTAGTGTTGGCGGCCGGATTGATGGCATTCGAGGTGAGAATCACCGGCGAGGACGTGGTGTTCATATGCGTCGTGATGTTCGAAGTGGCGACACTCGAGTGCGTGGTCATCGTCGGCGACACTGGATGGGACGGAATGCTACCTGCAGTCAGGTTGGAAGGAACGCTGTGCTGCTGCTGCTGTTGCTGCTGCTGCTGCTGTTGCTGCTGCTGCTGAGTGTTGTTTTGTATGAGGGGATGAGACGTTACGTTTGAAGGGATAGTGTGATGATTTTGATTGCCGTCGAGTTTCGCTTGCCGCGCTGGCGCTGACACATTCGGGTATCCGCCACCCGCATTGTGGTACGTTGGCATGGCAGCTACCACACAGTAGGCTCTATCAACCTGCAAAGATGAATGAAGCGCATTCATGAACCTTAGGCATCGTTTATCAGCCTGTCTCATTAAATAAGACGCTTTATCGATGTTCTACCCGCAAGTACATTCATGACTCGTGTAAAAAGTAACGCGGAGGGAATACAGTGAGAACATGAATGGAAGATGGAAACTTATATACAAAGTACGGTTTTCTAACTAGTTTTAAAACATATAAAAATTTTTATATTTTCTCTGTAAAATTTTTGGAGTGAAAATACTGTCACAAAGTGGAATACTCACTCCAATAGGGTGACTCATTCACTCCAAGAACTTTAGAGAGTTTATACGATTAATGTTGTCAAAATGTGATGTAATCTCTATAATCGTTCAATTTCACATCTTCTCATGGATTATTTTTTAAGGATCGACAGACAAACGTCCTCCTACTTTCTCCTACACTAAACATTGAATTAGTTTGTTAAACAGTCACGTGTTCGACAGGTCTCCTCAACTGTGTTGCACGAGGATCGTCAACAGCTCGAAGAGCCACAGCTCAAGTGCTCTCGGCAAGAAAAGCCGGTTCTACACGCGGCGAGTTCTCCCGGCGGGACACAACAGAGGGTCGTCCCATAAAAATGCGAGGTGCGAGAAGCGGTCGACAATGTTTGCCGCGTAGACGACTCAATTATCTCCGGGCGCGACGCAACGCGCGGAAGCGATAATTAATAAAACTCGTTAGGCGAATTGAGCCCGATGCATATTCAAGCGGCATGCATATCCGGTAAACCGCGCGTCGAGCTTTAATATACAGTAGTTAATCTAAGTGCCTATTGTTTCAAGGCGCGTACACTATCGCGATGCTCATCCGCCGTATTACGATGCGCCGCACGGCCGTACATGGGACGTGTATGATAGGTGAGTCACACACCAGCCGTGTATTTCTTTTTCGCGACGATTGTAATGCGAATAAGCGACGGTGGCGATGTAGGTCTACAATTATCCCGCCTATAATTACCTGACTAAGCGACGTATAATTTCCACGCGAAATAAATATATCCCCGACGAGAGAATCTCGTCGGGAGAGATTACAAATCGTTTACTTTTCATATTCATTAAGCATTCGTCTTGTCGTATCAAAAGACGCGCAGAATTATTCCTGCCGGTTGAGATGAATGAAACATACGTAGGAAGCAGGCTTCGTAACGCAGGGAAATGGCTTTTAAAGGAAATGCTCGTCGGCTATGGATTCCCGGCAACGATTCCCCGGCGCTATCCGTATTACGATCAAACGCGGTAACAGGAGAAACAGATCCATCGCACCGGCGAATATTGAATAATTCAACTGGCTCTATCCTTGGCCGGGCGCCTGCGAGACAGAAGAGAGAGAGAGAGAGAGAGAGAGAGAGAGAGAGAGAGAAACGAGCGAGTTATGTCACGCGAAAAGGTATAGTTGCAGCGGAACATAATATGCGAATCGTTCTGTTACGTAAGCTCGAATAGTCGCATTTCTGTCATGTGTCCCCTCGGTATTTCGAGAGACAGATAAGCGATTAGCATCGCGAAGACTACACGACACGCAGAAGAGAAAAATGTCAGCCGAAACCGTTTATTCTAAGAAAAAGAAAAATATATGTATATAAATAATAATGCCGAGCTTGCGATAGGCTACATAATTCGCGTCTACGTCGTCCTTTATAACAGGCACGTATAAAACCCACGATAAGCGCGAGGCATAAAAGTTAAACGTCCGGTTTTATGGGTCAGATATATATATAATGGAACCACCTTCTCTCTCTCTCTCTCTCCTCTCTCTATGTACGTTAAAATGGAGTTTCGTACGGCCAAAAAGAAAAAAAAAAGTATCGCGCCCGACAGGCGCGAAACGCCTTGAATATCAATATCGGATCTGGATGCGAGGTGCGTACGTGTAATACACGTTCCATCGCGCTTGTCAGCTAACTCGGACCCCGCACGGCCGCATAGATTTCAGGCTAATGAAATTTATTATCGGCTGCACGCGACGTTAATTCCTACCGGTGTGTAACATGTGTAAAAAAAAAAGCAAAACTGTTCTATCGCGTGCAGCGAGGTGCTTAAAAGAGTTACGTGCTATACATCTGCAACCGTTTAGACTGAAACTATTTATGCCTCCGATATCTAGGATTCGGAGAAAACGCGCGTCTCTCCCGAAACTCCGCGTACGCGTTGCGCGAAAATTTGCTAAATAAAACGCACCCGCGTATCGCGGAAATAAAAATTACTCGCGATTGACGGAGAAAAATTTGTTTTTAGAAATGTTATTATAAACAAAAATTCTGCTTTGATAGAGTTAAGTTTTATACTGATATAAAATCTATAGAAAAACACTCGCATCGATACTCGAATGGTGCACCGTAAATAGATTATTACTTTCAGAAAGACACGCTTTATATATTTTTTTTTTTGGACTAACGATTGTCTCGTTCCTCGCGTAGCAGAGCGACTGAAATTCTATCTGAATTCACGTTTATTAGAGAAACGCGCGGCAAGACAAATATTCTGGAGAGCAAATATTCTCGCGCGCTCGGCTAAGCCGCGAAGAGAACTGGGGAAAAGAAACTTCAATGAGCGCCTCGTTGCACGACGACGCTACATTCAAGATATGTACATACATATAAAATATCTCGGATGGCTCGAGGGAGATAGCGGCCGCGGTGCAGCCTATGTTAATTTCAATAGATTACGCAGTCACGATAATTATGTGGTTCATACGCATTTCAAGGCCGACTCGGAAGTATCTGTTTATATCGGCGCTTTTCGAGCTCCGGCTCGGTGATTCACTATCGGAGCGCCTTTGTACAAGCCGCAGACCACAGTCCACGTCGCATACATTTCACGGGGAACAACGTGGCTTCGTTCGCACGTGGAAAGCCTCGTTTATCGACAAAAAAAAAGACGTTTCCCCAGTATCCGCGATGCGATTGTGGTCCGTGCGAACACGACCGTGAAGCTTTCAAGGATCGAACAATAACCGGAATAACCGCGATTCTCATAGCTTCCAATAAATGGGGCAAAAAAAGATCTCCCCGTGTGAGCGGCACTGCGAAAAAATACACTAATTCTGTCTTGAAATGTCTTTAGGATAAAATACGCGTGTCTTTCCGGAGAGAGAATTTTCCGTACTTTCCCTCATTTATCGTGTAATAAGTTATATAAAAACCTGAACTGTAACAATATATTAATCTATATGTTTTTCACAGGCGATCTTTTCTCTTTAGGCAAAGGAAGATTCTGATGCTACAAGAGCTCAACGTCAGAAGCGAACGCGACAACTATAACCAGAACAAACGTCTCGTAATTGTCAAGTCGAGGAGTAAATCACTGACCAAAATCATGTACACCAATGCCTACACTAATTCCCAGTGAGCATTATTCTATCTTATTATCTTATTTTATCTTTTTAGATTCTTTATAATGTCCTGTAATGCCCGAAATCTGTACACCACAATGCCCTCAGCGGTTTTTTCCTCGTGCCAAGTACATTACACACTGAACTAGAGTGCTCCGCGTGGCCGAAGCTTCCCGAAGTTCGTCTACGAGATTCGCGAACGCTGATTTCGCGAAAGGCGTTTCGCGCGAGGCTTGCGCCCGCTCGGCATGCCTGGCCGGCACCGCGGTCCTATTAATATCTCGCGAGAGAGCGTAAAAGGGCGCAAATGCGAAAGGCACGGGCGGAGGAAGGGAGAGAGAGAGAGAGAGAGAGGGTGCGTGCGTGCGTGCGTGCGTGCAACAGATTCGCGCCCGGCGAACGCGCTCGTTGCCGCGCGCTCTTTAACAGTACACGTTACTGTACCGTGACCCACCACCGTTTTCCATCTGACGCGTCGCCCCCCGCGCACGACTCTCCCGGGGAACGAACCTCTTCCTCGCGCGCGGAACGCTTCCTTCCTGGCTGGCGCCTCCCGACAACTTCCGCACACGCGACGGACACGCGCTGCGGAAACCCTCGCGACGAACAACGCGCGACGAATCGCGAGCCGCGAGGGACACCTCGCGTGTCTGATCGCGTTGACAGTCGCGGATTAGCTCGCTGATGCACAAACGGGACCGCGGAGACCCGTTTTCGTTTCATCAGTCCCCCTCTCCGTCACTGCCATACGGGCGATATATCATCGGGCACGCATTCCCGAAGCAATTTCACGTGAATTCCTTCCTCCTTAATGAAACGGCCCGACACTATCTGATCTCGTAATCAAGAGACGTAGGAAGACCGAATAGAATCCCACGCGTGTCCTCTTGGGCCACAAAGACCATACTTTGTCCTGTCACATCTCCGTCTAATCAATTACCTCTCAAAGCTGTCTCGTGATGCAATAACGAAATAAGCATTATTACTAAATCTGCAAATAGATAACGCAGGAAATTAAACGGACAGCAAATTGTCGCGCCTTGAAGATTTATACATCGCTCCGAAAGGAATAAAGTCCCACCATAAATCGCCGTCGCGCGTGTCCCTTTATTCTCTCTCCCCTCTATCTCGCCTTTACATTTCGCAAATCCTACTTTCATGTTTCACTCATATCCCTTAGCGACGTTGACGCAAGCGGAGACGAGCTGTCCGGGGCGACGTCGAGCGTCGGCGCAGATCGTATCGTGGAATTCGTGAAATAGCGCCTAGCACTCAACAGCGGGATCAAACGCCCGGCACTTGACTCGTATAAAGGGAGAATTGAAGTCGGTACAACGAGTACTCTCGTTTCTCCAATCTTTCGCCGGCGCACTTTGCGTCGGTACTGGCGCAAAGTAGAATAGCGTCACTAATGCCGAAATGTAACGCGGAGTTCCTGTCTTCCGCCGTTCGTAATTACGGGTTAATTTCCTCGCATTGTCTCGCTCGAGGACGGACAATTCACGATAGAGTAAAAAGGTCAATCTAAGGTATCTCGAAAGCATACCTATGCTTTGCACCAAGTATCCATCTCGCGGAAATATTGCCCCTCTGAAACAAAAACAGAAAGAGTTATCAGCCACAAACTTGCGACGATTCCTTCTACTTTAATCTCTGGCACGGAAAGAAAAACGTAGCTACCGTAGCGAAACACCGCATGTGGCAACTAAATTTCAGTTGTAAAACATGGACAGGTAATATTTTTAGCAAACCGTGGTGAGCTGCGGTAACAAACTTTTTTTTCCAGTGAGACTCGTAAATATTTCAAGTATTATTTTATCTTCGAAAATACCAGCAAGTGATCGCGGATCGTTAAAGAGTATGCGACAGAATGGCAAATATTAAACGAATATTCGGAGAAACGTTTACATTAATAGATTCTTTTGAAGGTTTCACGTCGATAAAAGGGCGGAGTGGTCGTCCGTATAAGATGTTCTGTCGCGTAACGATCCAAATTATTTTTCATGGACATCTTTGAAGACGCGCGCATTCCAGCGGTGCCCTTTTCGGGCCGGATTCAATTAGGTAAGAAGGCAGGAACTCGTGTTCGGGCGCGATTCGGCGGAAGAGGAACGTGGAAAAAATAGGACTGGGAAGGAAGAGCCTTTCCATTTGCGGCGCGCAATTAAGCGCCGCGCGCTCGCGCGACTGCGTTATTCATCGCCCGTTAACCGTATAATTAGCCAATTGCTAATTGCCCGAGTTCACATGAGCCCCGAGCGACCGGGGCCAGTTTGCCAGGCCCAGGCGCATTAATCACTCGGTCGTCTACTATGATCCGCCTCTCAAATCGAACCAGGTCGACGCAATGTCAGAACAGAAATATGAAGCGCTTTGGCCAAAATGCAGTGTGCAATTGTGGCGGAAACTTGAGGGAAACTACGTACAGGCACGAATTATCAAGATTCTCTTCCATTTTTTTACAAGTTCTCTAAACATTATATAATTTAGATTAAATTAAAAATACATTCGAGGTCTTTGAAGTAGAAAAAAAATTCAGTACGGGGCAAGGAGTTATTGTATTGAATGCTAAGTATAGTATTTTTAAAATAATTAGAAATCGTTCATCAGTTTATATGTGAAATTACTGACGACAATGATTCCGCCTAATCTGTATTATATGCCCGCTGGTAACGGCGCGTAGGACATAAAATTATTGGGCTAATCTTGCTCGGACCTACGTAATAATTTGGCGTTCTCGTTTCCACTTGATTGAAAAAATCTGGTTGAAAAAGTGCGCTTTATGTTACGACGAATCTGGAAAATTAGTACCAGAAATTTAGAAATTAAATTTGCAATTTAGAAATTTTCTACTTCAATCGCTTCTTACAACTTTTATGTCAAGAAACTTGCCCTTCGCGCAACAAGAGGCTGAATAAAATGGAAGAAGTTACTTTATGATAAACAGAATAAATACCTCTGTTCTTGAAGCGGATAAAATATGAAAAAGTGGATTCAACTTATTTGTAAGATTCCGCGCTCTACGAAGCGACAGTTCAAATTATGTTCAGATCAGCACATTGTTAGTCTCCACTGCTAATTCAGAAAATTGCTATGCTGTCTCTCTGCTGTTACGGCAATGCAGTGTTCGTCAACACCTTCGATATCTAAACACAATTATTTCACAAGCAAAACTGTATGCTAAACGAGAAAATATTCGCGACGGTACGACTAGGCGCCAAATTAAATGACAGTAATGCGGCGTCTACAATGGGATCTTTAATCGTACGACAAATGTAATATCGGGCCAAGATGTAAGATTGAAGCAAATGACCAGTCGCAGTCGATTATTGTCCATTTGCAATAGGTCACTTTCTTAAATCTCACGTCTGAAATATCTCACTGTAGACGACGCGTAAGAGAAAAACATCTTCCTCGCGGCGGACCAGCGCTCGACGCGATTAGCGAAACACCCGTTCCGATGAAGAAAGCGGAATTGAAGCGGATTCTAAATTAGTGGCACGCCGCACGGGTCGGGTCCAGTCCTGTCATTTAAATACCGCCCACTGAAAGCGACAGGGAAAAAAATCCCATCCGCAGTCTAACCAAACTGTCTATTGCGCGCGCGCGTGCACACACGCGTGCTCGCGCGAGCCACGGCAGGTCGTGCGGGAGATTTCGCCGGCACGGCTCGACGACGCGCGTCGACGTGAACTTGCCGGCCGCGCGGACGTGCGAGCCGTGATACGCACCTTGAAAATTTGCGGCGAGGACGAGCCGTGCGGGCGGAACGCGGCCGCGCTCACCTGCGGCCGCGCGATCGGCCCACCCTCCGCGCGCGGGCGAGGCAGACACGGATGCCGATACGTGACACGCTGCGACGGCCGTGCACGCTCGCACGCGCGAATATTCATGCGCGAAGACTGCGCGGCGCGATCGCGGACGCAAACACCTTACGAGAAACGTCACTCCGCTCACTCGAGTCGGGCGGCCATTTTACTACGCGCCTCCGCCCGTGAGAAGCTGGCATCTAGACTCGCGCACGGTGTGGCCCGGGGTCGCTCGCTTACGCGCGCGCCGCCTGGCGGCGACGGCGACGAATCGGATTTCGGGAACCCTCGCTGCTCGCGGAAGATACGCGATTCTCGATGAGTTTCGAAACGCAAATGATATTGCGAAGTTCTTATATTTAAAGCCAACGGCACACGATACTAATTTTCCTACTGGAAATCGTTTGCGAGAGCCAATCAGGATTCAGCTTTGAGTCACCTGATCTAAAACTCTGCATCCTCATTGGATCTCGCAGAGCGACCGAGCATTGAGTAGTGGGAGCGGAGGTTCGCGTAGAAAAGGACAAACTCTTTCGTTCTCTCTTGTTCTCATGCGAACGAAATAGCATAAAACACAGGCTGCATTCAGCAGAAAAAGCTTCTTTGCAACTGTTGAAAAATTCATGAATCTGGTTGGCGTATGCTCTTAAATTCATTCAAGATCAAGAGAATACGCCGGTCAGATTCACGAATTTTACAACAGTTGTAAAGCAGCTTTCTCTGCTGAACGCAGCCACAGTTTGTCCTTTTCTACGTGAACCTCTCCCCCCCCCCCCCCCTCCTGTTCAAATAAAGGCAAACGCTCGGTCTAGATATATTATGTCTATGGCGAAGAGTGTGATACTCCGGACACTCCGGTTAGTTTTTAGAAATACGCGCCCTTTAATTTACGTCGCACATTGCTAAAATTTCCCACCGATTCGCAGACGTTTAAATTTGTCAGACTGCAATCTCCAAAGAGCAAACTTGCCGATTCCCCTTGGAATCACGAATACGATAAATTAAATGTCATAAATGCAACGCGCGCGTTCGATCCGGAAGTAGCCATTTTCAAGCGTGAGAGCACTTGTCAGGTGCATCTGCATTTTTTATCGATATGCAAATTGCTTTTATACGACCCGTCGTTTTTTGCAGTTAAACGAGGAAGACGCTTCTTCCCTGCCTCAAGATACGTCTGCGTGAAACGACTCCCCCGCTGAATCGTGCATAAAAATCCGTTTCGGATCGAGCGCTCGGACGCGTCGTTCGGTACGAGCGGAATTTTCGCGGGTGGCTCAGCGAGAATGCAAATTCGTAGAGGAGCGGCGTCCTCTTATCCTCGATAAGTGAAACGCACTACCGAAACCCGATCTAGGCGTCGGGCAGTTTGCTATGCGGCTTTTTTCTCGGGTTCTGGAAACGAGGACGGACTTAACCTCCCAGCGCAGGTGGCTCGTGTTTGGAAATTCAATTGTGATTTCCTGCGATCGCCCCATATGGTGATCGGCTCTCGCTGGCAGCACGAAGCACCTCTGGCCGTCGTGAAATCTCTCGCCTCTGATCTCGACGCGACGCGATGGCACCGCAATTGCAGATCTTGGCGAACATTCTGCAGGTAAACGTCAGCGGGCATCGATAATGATCCGAGAATGTATTCTTGGCGTGAATCTCGATTACTTGTCACGTTTCTCGCGAGTAATTGCAAACACGTTTCTTTTTCACGCTAAATTTAGCACTCGAGACGGTATCGCGTTTCCGTGTATTTAACGAATGTGAGCAATTTTCGCAAGCCGAAACGTATTTAATATCTAATGAAATAATTGCTTTTAGCGACTGGAAAACGTGGAGACCGTAACAACTGGCTACCTTTATGGTATTATGTACAACGACACCCTCGTAGTTCTGACATTCAGCATAAGTTCGTGTAACGATGAGGATAAGAACGCAACGGATTATACCGCGCTGCAGTTGAATCTACCTGCCGACATATATTTCTGCGGCATATTGCATATTGGCGACTTTGGCGAGTGTGAAGAAATCAATCCAGATGTTTTCAAGGTATGAAATACCTTGTCGCTGTGAAACACTACGTCGTTTGTGTGCAAAGTTTCCTATTTATTGTCCGACACATTTCATCCATTCTTAAGCGTCGTTTACGATGCGTGCGGTAAGCCTGAAGGAGGGAGTTGGAGTAAGGAAATGAATCAACTTTATTCCTTACTTCTACTCCAGCTGTTACGCTTACTCTCGGCGAATCAGAACGCCATTGCGGCCAGTGTTACGAATATTTTAAAAATTATGCCTGTATTTTAGCTTCCTTACACTGAAAGCTAAAAGTTGTAGTTCTCTCTTGCTCCAAGCTTACTCCATGTATTGTAGATGACGCTTTACATCAGCCTCGGTGTAGGAAAAAAAATATATGTATTGCATGAGAAATTAATCGGAGATAGGCTAATGTACGTATGTTTGTTTAGGACATCGATATTACAGATAATCCCTTGCTTTTAAAATATTCGCGCACCACGTCGGACATACAAGCGTACTTTTATGTGCACCAAAAACTGGAAGCTGTAAATAACCTCAGTATTGTCAGCGAGGATGATCTTTCTCGGCAGTTTGTGTACATCCGATTGCAAGCGACTCTGCCATTGATTGCTCAGGACGGAAACGTAGCGGAGGCTCTGCAAGAGTCGCGAAAAAACGTGGGATTTTCTTCTCTCTCGACGTTCACGTCTGGTTCTTTTTAATTTTCTAATTAAACGTGCCGCGTGTATATATCGCACAATTTTGCTCTGCTGTAGATCGCGTCTGGGAAAATAGGCATACATTTCCCTTCGAACAACGCATATCTCTTCAGAACCGACGACAATTTAAGAGATACAACGTTGAAAGATATTTTATCCGTGTCCAAAGACCAAGAGAAATTTTCAACCGGTTCGAGTAATGTAAATCACAATATCGGACCTGTGGTATGTGTTTGCGACTCGTATTTGTAATACTCACGTTTGTAACTACTTTAAACAGAAGTTGTGCCGAGGTATTTTTACATATTTTGTTAATTTTTAGAATGTTATACATGCAAACATGTTGTTGAAGATATCAAGTGAGAGAAATTCCGAAGAGTCTGTCAGGTACGCTCCCGTCTTACAACACATCAAAAGTACGTACTGTGTCACCGAGTATTGCAGACATTACGGTACACACCAGGTTTCTAACTTGTTACGTTTTTACGTTGCAGAACCTTTCGACAGTTCGGAATGCAATGTACACATCGATGCGTTGTCACTGGTAAACTTGAATGTGAAATCAGCCGAGTTGCACGCGATTCTAGTGGAATCCACTTGCCGGAACATCAGGTTGATTGAGGTGCAACAAGAAAATCAGTCTGAAAGTATAAAGCTGCCCACAATGTTACCCGAAGTCATGCATTTTAAACCTCAAGGCTGTGGACATTTATTTACAGTAGTATATCCTGGCAATTCTACTAACGACAACGCAAGTAAGACCTCGATTACATCCGTTTATTGTTGATGCAATAGGCTGCATCGCTACTTGGTTCTGTACCGTTCGTGATATCCTGTGTCGTCGTTGCATAATTAACATTGACAGATTTTTAATCACAGTAATATGTATGTGTGTCATCTATTTGCTTTTATACAGACCAGTCGTATAATTTCAGAGGAATATCGCAAGGCTTTACACAAGGCTTTAGCGTTAGATTTGACTAGACCGTATTTTCGACGTGGAAATGCCGTCAAACTTGACACACGGGAAAATGAGATACTTGTAAATCCTCATCGGGCTCTTTTACATAAAGGTACACATTTGTGCTCACATATTTTTCGCCATTCGAACTCGTTACGCAATTATTGTAATATTTCGCCTTGATTAGCTGTTGCAGGAAAACTTAGTATCGTGGACGGTTTGTATTCGTATCACCATTACATGCAAAATAGTTTCGACGACAATGGATGGGGATGTGCCTATAGATCTCTCCAAACCATCATTTCGTGGTACAGGTAATAAAATGTGAAAAATAATGGTATAATTAAAAATATCGTATACCGTCAATACGTATACACTGACCGACAATGAATACAAGTCACTTTCCCTCTTGCGAAACGATTCATTGCCGGTGACTGTACATCATATCAGTAAACTGCAATCTTGCCATAGATTACAGGGCTATAGTGAAATACCAATTCCATCCCATCGCAAGATACAACAGTGCCTAATCGATATAGGCGATAAATCTTTTGCCTTCCTTGGCAGTAGGCAATGGATCGGTTCAACTGAAGTGAGTTTTGTACTGCAGACTCTCCTCAACGTAGACGTCAAGATACTGCGCGCGTCGAGCGGAGAGGAGATGCTGGCCTTAATCCCACAAATTGCAAATCATTTTGATACACAGGGCACACCTATCATGATTGGTAAGCTTTAATCGTATCAATCTACAAACAATTAAAATTGTATTTAAAATATCTAATATATAACTTTGTACTCTTTTTTTTTTATATCTTGTATAGGTGGAGGAGTGCTAGCTCATACAATTCTAGGAGTTAGTTACGACGAAAATTCCGAAGAGGGAAAGTTCTTGATTCTAGATCCACATTACACGGGTGCCGAACACTTGCCTACCATAATAAATAAGGGTTGGTGTGGATGGAAAACAAAAGATTTCTGGAAAAAGGACGCATTTTACAACATGTGCCTTCCACAAAGGCCTATAGCCTTCTGATGTTAAAATGCGCACTGCATTGTACATAATTTAATTTTCTAAGTATAATCCAAGTAAAGTTCTCTACTACTCGTTCACATTACACATGCACATATGTATATGTATAGGATAATTTTCGCGATGTATTGCATCGCTGCAACATTTGTAATGTTTTGTTTTAATCGTGCGATACGTGCAACGGTGGAGTAAAAACAATAAACACATATATACATATACTTTTATCTCTAAATGAGAATAAAGTTAATTAAGACAATACCTCTTGTAACAAAGGTGGACACTTTGTTGCAATACGTTATGTCGAAAAGAGTACGTACTTTGTTACAATATTATAATTTTATTTATTGTATATTTACAAATATTAAATTAACAATACGACGTTACATTTAATATTTACGATTATCAATCTTATGCGGTTGATAAAATTCATTTTCAACGCATACATGGTGTATTCCTTAACAGTGCAGGTGTTACAGAAGTGTTACTTTATAGAGTTTTGTAGCAACTGCGCAAAACGATTCGTAACAAAGAGGGAAACGTCTATGAATCTATCGACGCAATTATTAATACATGTCTCTGTACGGCCGTCCAATTTACTGCCTGGCTTATCGACGCATTTGTCCCAACAAAAGTCGTTGAACTCGTGAATCTAAGCAAATTGGAAAAACTCGTGAAACTTCTGCGCAAATTGACATGAGACAGTGTCTTTCCGCTCAGATGCGCAAGAATGTGCACAATGTTGAAACAATTTGAGAAAGCAGTTGAAATGCTATTCAAAAATAAAATGAAAATAAAAAGGTTATCCGTGCATCTCGGAGATCCTTCACCTGTGCGTTAAACTGCGCCTTTTGCTTCTCGACCATCAAAAGCTCCGTTAACTCGGGATCGAGCCCCTTACCGTCTTTGTCGGAAAAGGAGCCGGTGTCAAACAGATCCGACATGTTACGAATTGGTTGAAAGATTTCGTCGCGTCCGAAAATGCAGGACAGGCCTCCCTCGAGCCTCGCACGTGGCGCTTACTTGCGAAAGTGTGAATGAATAGAGGAGCCTCTGACGCCCTGAGAATACGCTATGCGCATGTGTGCCGTATTATGACTAGAACTATATAAAACCAGAGAGAGAAATCAACGGCACGTGCTTACGAGAGCCAATGAGGATTTAGCCTTACGTCAGTTGTTGGATCGTGGAAACGAGCCTGCATATGTCCGCGACGCAGGAACCGTGCGTTCTTTTAGGCATCGGATACAGCAGTTTTTGCAGTAATTCATTCTTTTAGCCCGACTGCGCAGTCGACTGCACCGCAGATTTCCGTCAGCCGGCAAATCCGATGCGCAGCGGTTGCCAAATCCGATGCCTAAAAGAACGCACCCGAACTGTCTCGCCTCTCAGGTTGGCAGCTCCGCTTAATTGTCGAGTCACCCGACCTAACCTGAACAGTTTCTTTCCACCTTTCCTCCGTCGTGTCCTTTGCATGATCTCTTTAATTCGTTTCTTTTTGCAATGTATAAACATTAGCAGTCGTAAGAAGTAACTTGTACAGACGCGCGTAGATCGTAATTCCACATAACGCGTGGAAGCGAATGGAATTTGATAGTGGGTAAGCAGGCGCGCGTAAAAAGAAAAATGCGTGTTCTCTGCAAAGAGGTGTTGCGTGCAACGAAGGGAGGAGGCCCCCTGGCCCGCCTCTTCGGGTCGAGAATCGAGTGTAACGCGATTGCGTTCGTACGGCATTTTCACGCTGGATTCGTTGTATTTTAGAAACCGGTTGCGTTAATCGGCGTACTGGTAGGTCGTTAGATTTACGAAGGTTCGGTTACCGCGTGGCGCGATCGACCCCGCGCGTTATCCGTTAAACGTGATTCTCGAGCGTGTGCTTGTCCACTGAGACGAGGGGTCGAGTATACGATAAAGGTTTAGTTAGCATCGTCGCAGAACTCCAGCTAGTAACAGCCACAATCTCTCAATGTTGTTCCTGTCTAGACTTGGAGTTGATATAATGCGACGAAATTGTTCCTCTTTCTCATCAACATAAATACGATAAACAGCTCGCTCGTACAGTATACTCTCATGGATACGTAATAGGCCCCAGACTGCTAACACTAATGCAAATGTCCAATTTTCATTGCCACTTGTGCTTTCAAACTGATTGGACTTTGGCCTCATTGGTGGAAGTGGTGTGGCCATACAACGCGCTTAGTACATGTTAATCCACGGATTGTTTTGTATGGACCCTGGATTTCACTTTTACTGGATATTCTTTGTTATCGTTAGCTATATTTACTGTTAATTTGCATACGACGCAACGATTACTGTCTGTACAATACACATATACGATAAGAAGTCAGTACCGATAGGCTTTGTCTGATGAACGAGTAGTATGACAGAGAATCGCACGGGATACATGTACTCTGCTGTTATTTACGCAATTGTATTCTGTCGGCCAAAGCATCCGAACCTCTTGTTTATATTTTTATAGTACTTTAACTAACACACACACGCATACAAAACGTGAGGGAAATTAACGTAGAACAGACAGTTATGGAAATGATGGCTTCGGAAGATACTGCAAGTAATCAAGAGCTGAGCATCGCGGAGGATTGCGGAACGGACTCTGCCATGCAGTGCGAGAATCAAACTTGGCAGGCGTCGTGCGCAAAGAAGATAAAATTAGAGCACGACGCCAGATCGACCAGCACTGACAATAGCCACGATATCACGGACGAAGAAATGACGTTCGATAGTAAAGATATTTTGCACAACGGCTTGTGCCGGGATGATCCGGAGCAGAATGACGAGTTGCGGCAATTCGATGTGCTGGACGATCTAGATCGCCATCCGGAACAGAATGAGGCTTCCGACGACGACTCTGATACAGAAGAGAGTATGGACTCTGATGTGCCAGATGAAGAGATTGAGGCGATGCTGGAAGAAGGTACTTTATAGTGTTTTCGCGAATCCAAAAGCTTTCATGCCAATGGTAATTATAATCGCAATGAAAACAGTGTAAGGAAGTTTCGCTTTTATTCTTGTAAAAAGACTTGTATATTTTACATGTCGATACAAGAATATATTTATCTGCATGTTGCTTTTAATTATACAAATCGTCTCGCGCAGAATATTCTATTGTATTTAATCACATTTTTCTACTAAAAAAAAACTGTACAGATACTACAATTCAATTAACTATAACACTAGTCAACGCTGTTTTTGTTACAAACCTTTTGTGACAAAAAATATTGACCGGTGTAATGATTGACTGTATATTCTTAAGACTAAATATTTTCTGCGGCAAATAAGAGTCTGAGGTTATTTGGTTTTTCATCCTTTAATGTAACAGAGATGTTACATTTTTATTTTAGTAAAGTTTTGTGTATCAGGTTTACCAGAGGAATTTAAAGGAAAGAGAAAAGATAAAAAGGATTGCTTGCCCTACGAGGAAAAGGAGAAACTTGTTTTGGATGGTATATTAATATAAAGTATAATGATATAGGACTGTGCGATTATCTTGTTGATGTTACTGATGATTGTTGTTCTTTTAGAAATTGGACATAATCATTTTGATGTTCTGCCCGAAGGATGGGTACAAGTAACGCATAACAGTGGAATGCCACTGTACCTTCATAAGCAGAGTAGAGTATGTACACTAGCAAAGCCATATTTTCTTGGTCCAGGAAGTGTTAGGAAGCACGAAGTTCCTGTAAGCGCCATTCCTTGCCTCCAATACAAAAGAGCATTAACGGAAGAGGAAGAAGAACGAAAGAGGGAAATGGAACGCGCACCAAACTCTGAGGCTTGCAGTCTTCCCAGCGCAAAGATTGAAACTATACAAGAGAATCGTGCAACGCATTCGTTAGATAGCGAGCAATTAAGAAATTATTGCCAGTCCTTGTTCCGTTTCAAATCTATTAAAGTGATGAGATTCCAGTAAGTATCAAAAATTAAAATAACTGCGTCGTCGGGAAATTGATTTTAATTTGTATTAATCGACTCTTCTGTTTCAGATCTTGGTCAGCGCGTCGGAAATTTACGAAAATTAAAAAACATCGTAAACAGCTCGAGCGTCCAACTTTACCGGATGGCACAAAATTGATAACTTTTCCAGTCAGTAGTTCTAGTGTAGGTGGCAGCTGGAATATCGCCGATGATAATGGCCAGAGACCTGCGAAACACTGGATAATGAATCCATCGGGCAAAAGTTATGTTTGCATTCTTCACGAATATGTGCAACACGCATTAAAGAAACAGCCAACGTATAAATTTAAGGAATTAGGTAATCATATTATTCGATATATTATTTAATAATGCACAAAACGTCATATATGTTCGGTATTCATTGTTGCGTCAAATTGATTTCCATTACTAAAATGAAATTAATGCGTTTAATTATAGAAAACGCAGCGACGCCGTATTCTGCAGTGGTTTGTATCAATGATATGGAATACGGAAGTGGATTCGGCAGCAGTAAAAAACAAGCAAAGGCTAACGCAGCCCGGAAAACTCTGGAAATTTTGATTCCTCAAATGAAAGATAAAATTTCCGGTGAGAATGGCGGGGATAGTGGATCGAACAATGATAGTCGCACGATAAAAGCATCTAGAGGAAATTCCGATGCTGATCTTTCGTTCTTTGACGAAATAGGCATCACGGATCCACGTGTTGCAGAATTTTGTGCAAAAACTACGGAACCTTCTCCACATGCTATTTTAATAACTTGTCTTCAGAGAAATTATGGTTTAGGAGATATGCACATTAATTATTCGGTAAATACGTTGAAACATCAACGAAACGAATTTACAATGAAAGTTGGAAAGCATCAAGCTACTGTTGTACGTATAAATCGTTTTCTACTTATAGAATTGTAAATTTTAAATGGTGAGAAATTAATCTCAATTAAATAATTGTAGATTTGTCGTAATAAGAAGGACGGCAAACAACGAGCAGCACAAGAAATATTAAAGCTTATACATCCACATATAAAGTGCTGGGGTTCCTTGCTGCGTCTTTATGGTTCACGAAGTGTCAAATCTTTTAAGGAAAAGAAACAATTGGAACAAGAGATAACCCTTTTGCAGGGTAAAGCCGCCGTTAATCAGCCAAATCATGCTATTTTAGGTAAACTTAGGCAGGAGTTGCGAAAATTGGCCGAACAACGCGAAGCAATACAACCTATTGGTAAGTTTGTACCACCAGATTTACCAACAGGATCTGCAGCAAATCTTAATAATGTAGATTTATAATAATCGATAAAAAATATTTGACAAATAAGTCACAAATATCCATTAAAAAAGCCACATAAATAGTCGATAAGAATATTCTATCTAGATCATTTATAAATATATTGCTTAATTATTGAAGAAAAGTATTCTTAATAAATAATATTGGACAAATGTAATGCCTTAAGAACCTGCTCGTAAACTATTACGATTTTTATATAAGTATTTTTACACTGTATTATAAAACATAAAATACCATCGACTGTTTTTAAGTTGACAAAACATTTCTTAAATTGCCTCAATCAAAATTGATTTTAAGTATATCAGTAACACTGAATGTTAAAATTTTTTTTTTTCCCATTGTGGAATCTTAATCTGAAATCGTCTAAGCTATTCTTTAATCTTTCCTCTCAAGTCATTCTAATACATGTGAAAAGTAAAAATTATTACATTTGATCTTTCATTGGTTTTTCTCATACGAACATATTGCATATAGCAATGATAGCGTAGCTAAATGTGACAAACGAGTAAGTAGCACAAGAAAAAAAATTCTAATTTACAAGGGAACAGAATAGAGAAGTTTTATTGTATCATAAATCAAATTGTAACATATAAATGGACACGATTATATTCAAGAATACATTTAACAAGTGTTAACGATGACGCCTAATATGCTACAATATTGATGGGCATTTATGTTCTGTTCCTTGTAAAAATGACCTCAATGTTCGATTTTCCATCGTAACAAGTGTCAAATTATTTTTATGAAATTTACGTTAAGTATTGTACTTTATGTACAGATAATATAATAATTTGTTCATTCGTAATATAAACGTAAATATTATTGATGTACATTGTAAAAAAGAATTAGCCTAAAACAGGATGTAATCATGATGTAAACACGGATGCAAACTTAATAAAATCGTTGTAGATTATGTTTCCATTATTTTATTGACAACCAGCTGAACGTTAAAAGATTAAAACATCTAGCACTTATGTGAATCAGATTTTCTCCAACTAAAATTTTATTTTATGAGCAAATTATTATTACTAACAATAAGTTGTATGTAATACATTTTTCCTGAAAGATACTATTTATTTCTTTACAATCCACTAGGTTTTTAATACTACTTACAATATATCATGGACAACGTTGTAATTCTTGTGTCACATTCATATTATGTCTTTTTATCGCTGGTTTTACATCTAAGATTATTTCAAAATCATACATGATGTGCTACATTAAATGTAGTGAAAGGGATAAACCTATCTGCATATTCATATATTTGTTGTATAAAGATATTCAACAGTTCTAAATTATCGCATTGGTCAATGAAAATTTATATAGCCATGGAAGCAACAAATACGCAAATGCCTTATTTATTCCAAGATCCATACTTTTATTCTCCAAAAACTTGAATTCGTTGCTGCCTTGGCTATCTCACTAGTATAAAAATCTAAAATGTATATACTAATAACTCTTTCCTCTTGCTGTATGTAGGATCAAGATAAAATTATTAATATAAATTCAATTTACATTTAAAAGATATACTCACAAAACATTTTGGAAAATATACTATCTGATATAAACTGGATAAAACATTGATATGTTATTCCATTATATTATGAAATATTTCCAACGAAACTAGAACAGCTTTTTCTCTTTTAAATACATCGAATATTGATTTAACCTCTCGGATTTTACAAAATTAATTAAAAGTATTTAATTTACTGAGCACATGAGACTATAATCTCACCATAGCTGAATCATACTCGCTACGTTTTGTTCATTACAATTCGTACTCTAATTCATTCTATACTTGAAGTTGTCTCTTGTATTGCTACTGGAAAAAGTTTACTTTAAATCGCTCAAGATTTGATAAGTAATACTGAAATAGGCACTACACATAACACAGTTATTTTGCATTTATGAACAGCTAATTTTAATACATAACATATATCGCAACGAATCCTCTGTAATGGAAATTTTTTTAGCATTCGCAAATTTGTATAATTTTCTTCTTGTTATATGTCATTGCAGAGAAAACTTTTTTTATTACTTATTAACTTTAATTTAGATACTCTTATAAAATAGTAACATATCCACTTTGCTAGTTTTTTAGATATTTGGATATATGCGTAGGTACAGACAACTTTTTAATTACATCGTCATATATCTATATATCCGAGAAAGATAAATATAATATTTCTGTACGAACATATTGCACATTGAAATAAATATACAGCTAAATTAACGTGTGTTTTATGAGTATATTTACAATTACAATTACAACATGGAAAGAAAAATACTCTCATTCATTTTTACATTAACACATGGCACAGAAATATATCAGATATATTTATGTCACATTGTGAGATATATTAGATTCAGTATCGTATCCGCAAATAATTGTAAATGAGATAAAAGAATTATGAATATAGATATGTTATTGCTTACATCGATGTAAAAAAGATAAACAAGAAATTCGAATGTTATGTGTTTTACTAATTATATCATAAATGCATTTTGATACAATACTATAAAACAATAATAAACATAGAAAGAAGTAAAATATAAAAACCTACTGCAATTTCCTCAACATGGAATTTACTCTAAAAATTACACAGTAAAATAGATTTATTTATTTATAGAATAATCGATAAAATAAAGAAAAATATCGAAAGATAAAATATAAATCTCTTTGAAAGCTTAGCAAACAATAATCGGATACTTTGGTATCTGCGTGTGTATATATAAATATATATATAGAAAGAATGAGACCTGTTTCACATTAGACACAATTAGAACCTCATCAATGCACGATTAAAACTATATGCACCTAATAGTTTTTAAAAAAATGAATGTTCTTTTCTAATTGTATTACTGTCTTTTTCTTACATGCATTACGAATATCCTACATGCCTATCAGTTTCAACATCTAAAGGGGAGTAGATGGAAAAAATGAGAAAATTTACGTGATGTGTACTGATGCAGCTAAATACACATTCTCCTTTTTTTACATCCATACAAGTATATACATGCACACAAGTCTCTTCCTTCATATTATAGGTTTATACAAATCTAGTGTTTCCTATTCAGTCATTGCATGCACATCTATCTACTATGAACCAGGTCTCAATAATATCAACTATCCTTGTTACAGGAATTGTTATCTACGTTAAAATTGTCTATGTAAAATCGTTTGTATATCGAGCAGTCAGAGAACGTGGTTGTGTAAATAAAAAGTCTAGTCCTAAGCGACATCGTCCTTGGTTGTCGTCCACGACAGGTCCTAATCACTTAAAATTATCCAACGCATTTTTAAAAAAGCATTATATAGACGTATCACAGGTACTGCTACCAGATAGGGCCATCTTTGAAAGACTAGAAAGACTTCGTCTGGGACTGCTGCCTCCAAGAAAGCTGCTGCTGGACTCGGAGAATATTTTTCGGAAGCTATAAAATTAACGCACTTTAGACACATGTCACGAAGATGTGAAAAGCATAAACGTACAATTTACGAATTCCAGATTCAGAGGATTTTTTCCACGGTGCATCATCCGGTTCATAAGGAAGCGGTCCCTGCACAGGTGCATCCTTGTCATCCTCAGGACTGAAATCACACAGAAGTGACATAAATATATTTTATGTAGCGTAGAGTACTAATGTTTATTACTCAATGACATACATTTCAGGTTTTGGTCGGTACAATTCTAATTCGTCCTCGAGATCCGAGACTCTTGCCTTCAATTCATTTCGCTCGTGCAAGATTTCTTTTAGCTCGGCGGTGGTAAATCTTGGTCTATCAGGATCGTCTAGGTCATAAATTGCTTTGTTCGTCAAATCAGGACAGCCCTGCAGTTTACTCAGATCCTCATTTTCTTTCCTAGCCATTCCAAGCCGTCCTCGAAGATTTATAAGTTCCCGATTCTGATCTTGCAGCTGAGCCAAAAAGTCGGCCCTTTCTTCTACTAAACCGCGGGCTTGCATTTGCGCTTGTCGTTGTTTACGTTTTAATTCCCGCCCCAGTACGGTAAGCGTCTCCACTTGCGCACTCAACTATACAACACATAATTTTTTTTCAATATCTAATAATATCAAAGCACTTTACTCGAAATAGAATCTGAAAATATCTTATATCTATTATGAAAATCGCCGAATATATACATATAAGTAACAATTTACATTTTCAATCTCTGCAGTTTTTTGCGACAACTCTCGGTCTCTGGCACGAATCTGATCTCGTTGTTTATCTATCATGGACCTCAAATGTTGCAGAACTGCTACATCAACCTCCTGACTAGCCGTGATAGCTAAAAATTAATGCAAATTGTTATTTCGTCAATTTATTAATTTGCACATTGTTCTGTCAAACGTATATTTGTCAGTGACGGACGCTGTCGACTCAGTTATTAAATCCTTTTAATGGGGAATTGATTTTCGACTAATCCACTGCTTTAAGCATATGCTTACGCGCCTATGCTAAGTGGATTTGTCCGGACAGGTCCTTATACGTTTAACAAAGCTTTCGAATGAATATTGGATTAGTAACAGGTTGGTAATTGGTGTTAGTACTTGTTTGTTTACTGCTGTACTGACTGTCGCTACGTGATTCTTGCAGAGTTTCGGCTAATCGTCTGTTTTCCTCTTGCAGTCTAGTAACCATGGCTACTAAGTCGCGAGATTCCTGCCTCCAGTGTTCCTCGATTTGTTCCAGTTCCTGAAAGAATCAAATCGGGCATGTGACTACGCTGTGAATTGTGGCGTGGAATTAGAAATTGCGTGACGGCGTAGGAGCCCAAACCTTTTCGAATCGTTGTCTATCCTCAGCCTTGCCAATCTTGTCGCTCTCGAGCTGAGAGATCTTGGCGCTCAGCTCCTGCACCATGGTATTCTCGCGCTCGTTCTTGGTGGCGAGATTCTCGAGCAGCTCCAGAGCGTTTATCACCTTTGGCATCAGCTTGGTGACCGACTCCACCCCGAAGAGGTCTATGAGCTTCTCGCATTCCTTCCCTATCTCCGACGCGATGTCGTACACGTCCACCACCGACACGTCAGACGCGACAGAATATTCTTCCATTTTGCAACTTGCGTTACCTCTCAGACAAAAAGGCATGAATACAACTTTTTTTGCCGCAGCACGCTCTACGCGTAGATCTGCTCAACGCTACGAGAAGGTGGTCTCATAGAGACGTTTCGCCCTTGAGGATCCTCGCCTCTCTACGGAGATTCGGAGATCCGAGCGTTTCTACACACCTGTGCGATCTCCGGCAGGGAATACCGTCTACATACAGAGGACAGAAATTACGTATAATCACAGCCAAGTTACATGGAGCATCCTCGTGCACGCCGATGCCGCGGGTATCTCGAGGGGGGAGGGAAAAAAAAAAGAGGCCTCCTCCTGCGGTGCGTACGTGCCTGGCGGGTTCGCGATAAATAAATCGCGTGACTTAGGTGTGGCGTTAATTGTGAAAACGACAGAAGCCCGCGATCACGCGTCGATGGACATTTACATCGCGCACTCGTCGTCCCCCGATTCGCGTGCCAGCCCGGGTAGTGCAGCGGGTCCCGGTGATGTCATAAGCAGTTTCCATCAAAACGTCATGTTTAAATTCCGGTCGCACACACGGAGAAGTCACGGCGGAGCAGATGATTGAGATTAGTCACGGTGTAACGTGCGCGCGTGTGTGTGCGTGCGCGATTCATCGCGAGCCCGACAGGGGCGCCGCGAGTGGGTACCGCCTTCTCTCGGAGCATCGCGAAACACGTTGGGGAGAGATGCTTTTTCCCCGTCGACGACGTTCTCGTTAAATTCGCGGCTGTTTATCGCGCAACGTCGCGAAACAGGAACTAATGACCCTGAAACTTCGGAAAAGATGACATTTCTTTTAACGCGAGCGCGCGAGCGAGCGTTAATGATGGCGAGAGAAGCCGACCTTTTTATTTTGATAGCGAATGCTCGTCCGCTTTGCTATTAATATGGAAGAACGATCATTCGATAATCGCGTGACACTTTAGAGGGCGACTTGTAAAAAGTCGACGTTTAAAAAATCTTTTATGATCTTTGTATTCTTTCGGAATCGTTTACGAATCAACTCTCCCGTCTCTGTTTTCAGACGAAAATCGATATCTTTAACTCAAGACAAGAGCTTAGGTCCGGTTTCACCGACGTTGTTTAACTTTAAGCTTAGCTTAATTCGTTCGTTGTCTCTTTCCACCTGTTACCTTAGGAATTAAGCTGAGCTTAAGCTTAGGCGACAAGTTGGTGAAGCCAGGCCTTAAACTCTTCCTATATTTCTCACTGGGTTTATGAATTAGCGTAATCTCTGTTCGAAATAAACTCTCAAAGAATTGCCTTCCGCTGCGAATTCTTCTTAAACTCTTAAGACTGTCTCTTAACAGAAATGGGAAACGTTTCATAACTCGGGGAAAAGAATTCCTTTTGGATTCTCTGTGTTCTGAAGTTTTACGAGGTGGTAACCATAGAAGTCGATATTGTTGGATCGTTACAGAAGCAGACGGATAATTGTGCGAGTGGCGAGCTCGCGAGATCATCCGCCAAAGAAAAGTGGTGGTTAATCATGAACGAACGAGAGGACATCGCAATTTCGATCATTCGAATGGAGAGGCTTTTGGCGATCGTGACAAACAAGATAGAGAAATCGGTAATTTAACGTGGCAAATATTGTCACGTCGCCTAAGTAAATACATCATCTCGTTCTCCCAAGAGATTAGTTTGTTTTTCGTTTGGAAAAGTATTTTACCAAGATATTTCAAAGTCAGTGGCTGTGTTCTGCAGAATTGTTAGCGCTTAATAAGCGCTTTATGCTGATTGGATAGATCTAGAAGAATAGCTCTATTTCAGCACAGATCTGAAAGTATAAGTCCCAGTCTACAATAGAGATTTAAGCCCTAAGCCTTAGTCCCAGTCTACAATAGAGATTTAAACCCTAAGCCTTAGTCCCAGTCTACAATAGATGATTTAAGCCCTAAGCTTTAAGAAATTGGCCAATCACGGTCAGGTATGAGTAGAATGCGCGACTGTGATTAGTCAATTTCTTAAGGCTTAGGGCTTAAATCTCTATTGTAGACTGGGACTTAAGAAATTGACTAATCACAGTCGTGTATTCTACTCGTACTTGACCGTGATTGGCCAATTTCTTAAAGCTTAGGGCTTAAATCATCTATTGTAGACTGGGACT